CTTATCCTTAACTCTTCTTCAATATGCTGAAGTGTGCCAAAGCTATCGAGCACCACGAACCGCAAGACTCCTTCAGTCGACCTGAGATATTGAGTCGAGTCGACTGGATCGCATTCATCCGTTAGTGGACCCTGATACGTCCGACCGTTGTCTCGGCAGAGGTCAACTTATTCTAGTCGACAGGTGTACGTCGACTCGGTCGAGATCCGGGATTCCTGACTGAGTATTGCAGAACCTTACTGGCGGAGTCGACTGTGTCGAAGTCGACTTGATAATTTCGAACCGAGATGATATGAACCGTTATGAGCCAGTGTGGCTATATCACGGTTATTGAACCGTTACACGACAGTATGGCTATATCATCATGCATGGTAGGGATGCCACGTCTAAGAATTGAGTCATGTGTTTTATTTAAGGTTATTAAGCATCATTATCATGTTTATATTTATGCTTATGAACTAAGCATATTAAATATAAAAGTTCCTATAGTGGTGACACCTCATAAGGTGACTAACCACAAATTTTTCCACTAAGCTTCTTAAAGGGACACATGTCCTAAAGAGAACTAAAGTAGAGATATTATCTTATCTTTCACTTTCTCATGATTTTGTTCATCTATTAAGATGGCGTTAGTTAGGAGGTGGAAATCACTCCTTTTCAATGAACACATTTTTATAAACTTTTCCTTACCGTAGACTTTGCAAAAGAAACCGAGAAGAAAAAATTAGAGACCAAATTTATTGTCTCCCACCTCATGCTTATATGTATCTCACGCAAATAAGTTAATTGCCGTGAACTTTTGTCATTCAAAACTGAACCAAATTAAGAGGAAAAACCGAGGGCGTAGAGTGAAAGAAGGAGAAGGTAGTTTATATGCGAGCCATTTCCTAAGGAGTACACACACACACACATCAAGTAACCGCAAGCAAATTTATACAAGTCATAGCATTTCTCATGTGAAATTGAAAGGGTATAATTATTCTAACCCTCTTTTAGTTATTTTATGTCCATGTTAGCAAGATCATGTAGTTATCACGTCAATTGATCCATGTTTAAGTCATATTGCCCTCGGAAAGGACATATAGGCTACTCCCGAGCC